TCCTTAGACTGGGATTCAAAGCACTAGCCTCTTTTCAATGTTGTTTCCCACTTCACTCCAGGCAATCTGCAAGGCCTAGTCCTCTCTGTACAGACTCTCCTGCATTTGTTCCTGCGGCTCCCCCACATAGTACACATAAGTGTACTAACCCCTGCCCCATTCCATCTCCTTGTAACCCCTCTGAGTTGAAATCTTTCCCATGTGTAAAGCCTAAAAGAGAGAAATTCCATCTTTGCTATAAAAAGTGCAAAGAGCCGTGCCTGGCTTAAAAACTCAGTAAATGTTTTCCGTTATTATTGTTGTTGCTGCTGCTGCCATCATGTGCCATGAAGTCTTTAATCTTCACAGATGGACTAACCCCTTGCTCCTAAGGGGGTTTTAAATGTAGCTCTCCTATGATATACCTAATTACTTTTTATGTCCTCCCATACTTACTTAATTATACATTTCATCTCCTCTTATGGACTGTGAGCTTCTAAAACAGATCTTATTTCATTCACCTTTGTATCTTCCATGTCAGAATACAAGGCCTACACACAACTCTTCGAAGAAAAATGTTAAATATCGTATCATGCCACAAGGGGGCATGGTTGAGCTACTCAACCAGTCAGTTGAGTTCCCAGTCAGTAATAAATTAGGTTTTAGAATTGAGAGGCTTTTTTCTCTTGAAAGTCTATTTGTAAATCTGTTTAAAGTAAATATATACGCATTAAGTATGATTACAAATCTATTCATGTTGACAGGGAAAGATAGCTACGATATAGTGAATTTTAAAAAGCAATAAGCAAAATAGAATATATATGATCCAATTTTTATATAACATCTAATCTTAAATATATGTGAGAGAAATAAAAGTCAGGAAGAATACTCACCAAAATGTTAATAGCTGTTATCTCTGGGGTGGGAGGGAAACAGAATGGGAATATGGAGGTCTTATTTTCTATTCTGTATCTTTCTGGATTTTTAAAATAACCGATAATACATATTAATTTTATAATCAAAAATAAATAAATAAAGCCATTCACTTTAGGAAATCTCAAAGCAAAGTGTTTATTTTATTCCTCTTGTTACCTCATCTCCAGTCCCATACTTGACATATTTAAAAGTAAATACTTCGGGAATTTTCTGATAAATTACAGCAAAGAATCCCAAACTCTCGTGATACAAGGTGCCCTTAGCATCTCAGTAATTTTTTATGGCACCCCTTGGATGAAAGAAATTCTTAACAGTTCCATTTAATAAGTGTTAAAGTCCAAACAATTTACTAAGTATTTATGTCCTAACAATTGAGTGGCCATTTGAAAGAATAACACATGTAAATTGAAGAAAAAGCAAATTTTCTTTCTTAAATGGTCACAATTACTTCTTAATGGATGGTGTATACCTATTGGGCACTGTGTGACTTCTTACACTTTGGAATCAGATTGGAAACTGCTGCTCTCATCTCCTAGTCTACACTGATTTTCATTAGGCACTCAGTTTTTATCACAGCTGCACCAAAAACCCAGCTTCACAAAGATATGACACCATTGGAAGGAACGTAGCACAATCTCATGTTAAAACTATGAACACCTCGAGCAAGTAGTTCTAGGGCATCCCACAAATGTCAAGTACAGTTGTGTTTCCCTTAAAAACTTAATATATCTCATGGCACCCTGCAAGTTTACTGCAGCACCCCAAGGCATCAACGCATACAATGTGGGAACCAGTAAATTCAAAAGATAAAACTGATTCCCTATAAGGCTGGCAGAGGATGAGAAACTCATTAAACTAGACTTGAAATTATTCCAACCTAATAACTCAGTCAAAACTATTTTGTTTTCTCTAAATCTAAGTCCTCAGGGAAGGAGAAAGGGTGGTGTGGGAAGCTGGGCTGAGCTCTGGACTCTGGTGGTCTCTCCCTGTCTCCACATTGCACCAAAGTCCTCTGCTAATGTTGCCCCTACTCAAAACTAAGAACCAATAGCGGCCTCCAAAGCAGCATGTTCCTGGGCAACAGCTGAATTCTTGACCATGGTGTCTAGGCCTGGATGTCAAGCCAACCTACTACTCCCTGCTCCCTCCCCACCACCACCCCTCACCCCTAAAGCTTTAGGCTTTGCAAGGATGTAGGAAAGCACAGCAAAGCCCCAATACTTATCTCTCAACTGCAGAGTTAGCGCCCGTCCATCCCCGGTGGGCTCCTGGGACCAAGCCAAGCCCCCCAGTCAAGTACAGAACTGTTGCTATCCAAATCCACTTGAAGTCTGGGTTAGAGAGTATTTTTTTCTCTAAAGTTTAATGAACTCAATTTCACATCTTGGTTTAGTGAGATGGTTTGTCATTTTCTATTATCAACTCAAACATAACTAAAACAAACTTGAAAGGCATCTCCAACTTGTATGGAAATCCCATGCAGGGACTACTTTAAGAACTGAATCAAGATCACAGAGAAGTGGAAACAACACAAAGGTCCATAGGCACATAAATGGATAAAAAAGTACGGTCTGTCCATACAATGGCGTATTATTTAGCCTTAAAAGGAAAAGAAATTCTGACCCATGCTACAGTGTGGATGAATTTTGAAGACATTATGCTAAGTGAAGTAAGCTAGCCACATAAAAGTGTATGATTCCACTTATATGAGGCCCCTAGAGTAGTCAAATTCATAAAGAGAAAATAGAATGGTGGGCACCAGGGGTGGGTGGGGAGTGAGGAATATGGAGTCACTGTTTAGTGAGTATGGGGTTTCAGTTTGGGGAGTTGGAAAAGTTCTGGAGACGGATGGTGGTAATAGCTGCTCAATAATGTGAACATGCTGCACGCCACTGAATTGTATACTTAAAAGCTGAAATGCTAACTTTTACATTATGTATATAATTTCATATTTTTTTTAATCACAGCGATGACTTTCCAGTAAGGGAAGTCTTTGATTTAACTGGAATCATGTCCTTCAATGTCACTTGGAACAGCTTGCAGCAGACCTCGACATGAGTCAATTCGGATGATCTAGTATAAAATGCCTACATGATGTCTCAAAACCCAAGGACCTGTTCCAAAGGAAACCATGTACAAGCAAGAGCTGTAGCAGAGCACCAATAACAGAAAAGAGCTTCCACCTCCTCCAAGCCTTCAGAAGGAAGAGCGAAGTATTGCCAAGAAAATTCAAAATTTCCCCACGATTTCCCAACTTTACAGGC